AGTGGCTGGTAGATTTGAACCGCTAACCTTCAGGCTAGCAGTCAAATGCCTTAGGCACTATGCCACCAGCGTGCCTTACACTTTATAGTAGCACAAAGAAAAGCTAAGATTTAAATTAGTTAAAATAAGGTGGTTCATTTTTAATCAAAATTTGGTCTCGGCATTGGGGAAGATAGCCCATAGATGTTTGAATTAAATATGATTTTGCTGTCAAGGAAGTTCTAGTCTAGCTAAGGAGATAGAGTAGTTACACATTTTAGAGAGTTGAATTGTAAGTTAGTAGATGATGGAGATAAAACAGGTCTATATACAGTTAAGTGCTGTAGTAGTTCAGGAAGGAGTGAGCACATCTCTGATGTTCAGGGAAGCTTACATGGAGGAGGGTATGGAGGATATTCTGGATTGAGAAAATAATACGTTAATTTTTTCAGTGCGTTCTGGGCTACAGGAGGTAAGGCTGAAATGTAAGTTGTTTTTAGATTATGAGGTCCTTGAATATCAAGCAGAGGCATTTTGATTCCATTTTGAAAGCACAAGGATGTTTGTGGTTCTTAACTCTGCCTTCCTCGATTTGGTAATTGGATAAGCAGAGTGATAGGTTAGTAAAATTAATTTGGTAGTGGGTTGGTGGAATATATTAGTAGAGGATAGACGCTGATGGTAACTAAATTAGGAAAGTATTTATCTAGTTGTGTGATGAAAAGAACCTCAATTCAGGTGGTAGCAGAAGAAAGGAAGGAGGCATAAATACTCTGTAAAGGAAAACACAGGCCTTAATTAAGGAAAGCAGTGGAAAAGGGATTAAAAGACAGATTTTTTAATTTAAATCTTAGGGAAAAGAATTGGGAAATTCAGAGGGAATTTTGATCTGAGGTTAAAATTTGATTTGAGACAAAGTGGAGTGATGGTTGTATGTCCAAATGCTAATAAATGCCCATTGGACAGTTTGTTGTAGACTTGCAGAGTGACCAGAACTGGAGATACGTATTTGGATGTCATTTGAACTGGACAAGAAGTAGATCCGGGTGGGAAAGTATAATGAGAGCATACTTAACACAGAAATTCAGGAAAAGATAGATACATAAGCTAGCAAACCAAGACTGAAGGAGAGATTAGAGGAATGGCAGAGAAATCAGAAATGTGAAATGTCCAAAAATGATAGTGGAACAAAGTGGAAAACAGTCTTCCTGTTATTGAGTTGGAGGAAATGGGAGTTTTGGAGAACTTTTCTGGGGAAATGAGAAAGGGACTATTTTTTTTATTAGTTGTTGGAGTGTTTAAATGGGTAACTCTTGTGTTAGGAGGTGTCCTTGGGTGGCACTACTATTGAAAGTTCGGCAGTTAAAATCTACTCAGACCAGAAGTGCATCAGAAGGCCTGGTGATCTGCTTCTCAAAGGTCATATGCTTGAAAACCCTGTGGAGCTCAGTTCTACTCTGCACACATGAGGTCTCCACGAGTCAGAACTGACCTGACGACAAATAACCACAAAAGCATGGTAACATTTACTTAGTGTGGTAGTTCAGTTTGTGTGTCAACTTGGCTGGGCCTGGTTGAGTGGCTGGGCAGCTGGATATAGTATTCCCCATGAT